AAACCATGGAGATTCGTGCTCGAGCTGAAGAGTTTAATGTGCGGAACTCAGTTTGAGGCAGCTACGTGGTTAATCGATCTCTTCGAGTCTGTTGCACAGTCTTTTTGATTCTGTTTGATTCTGTTCAAAGAAGTCTTGTTTGAGGATTTGGAGTTGCTCTTTGATATGGCGATGAGTGATTATCGGCCTCTGCACCTCGACGTGTTGTGGACATTTTGCAGGTCTCCTTTTCACCGCCCAGGAACGATTGCCTGAACAACCTGGTTCTCCTCAAGAATCTTTGGGACAGGGAACGGTGAACGAAATCGATCGCAACAAAAAACGAGTCGAGCATTCTTTCGAAAACGTTTGTCGAACTGCCAGGATTTGATTGTCATGGTACGAGAAACCTTCTCGGCGTGGCCTTGATCTGAGAGATGCCTTCTAGACGAGTCTTTGTTTTTTGAGTTTAGTAAGGACGCTACTAGGGGCTCCTGGCCTTACTACTAGGAGCAAGGAAGCTACTAAGAGCTTTTTCCGGAGTTTAGTGAGAAAGTGAGTGAGTGACTGCGTGGAACGGGAGGCAGGTGGGAGGGGGAGGTTGAAGGCAGGCAAGGCAGGAAGGGCGGGCGGCCGGGATTCTTAGTAAAAGTAAGGCGTCCACAGGAAGCAAAACTAAACAATATATTTCACACAACTTCATGCAACAGTCCTGGTTTTGCTGCTTCTCCCAGGTACAATGTGCTTTGGGACAAGATCGACACAGGGCAGATGGTAGAAACCGTGCGCGAGCTGAGCAACCAGGTGGGCGATGCAACGGCAATGCGTTGTATGAGAAGCCACGTTGACAAAAAACACCAGACGACCGGGAGGAGACATAAAGAGACGAAGATAGAGAAATGACAGTAGAAGAGACAACCTAATAGCAATGGTCTTCAACCTACTCGCGATGGCCTCCAACCTAGAAGCGATGGCCTTCAACCTAATAGCAATGGCCTTCAACCTAGAAGCGATTGCCTTCAACCTAATAGCCATGGCCTCCAACCTACTCACGATGGCCTCCAACCTAGAAGCGATGGCCTTCAACCTAATAGCCATGGCCTCCAACCTACTCGCGATGGCCTATGATGGCCTCGAACCTAGATCAACCTAATAGCAATGGCCTTCAGCCTAGAAGCGATGGCCTTCAACCTAATAGCCATGGCCTCCAACCTACTTGCGATGGCCTATGATGGCCTCCTTTTTCCTTTCGCCATTGCTGAGCTCTAGTGAGACTCTTGGTAAAGTCATGCACACAAAGCCTCTCATTCATGGTAGTCCGGTTGGACATGAGAAGGCTCTTCTACGCCAGTCACATCATGTAACTGGACGAGCTCTGTAGGGAGACCTTCTTTGAGGTTGCTCGGGCTGAGTCTGTGCACAAAGCCATGAAAAGCTTCGGCTAATGCCGCGTTTAACGCGACCGGGTAGATCTTAGCCCTGGCGGTCCTGAAAGCGCCCTTACACTTTCCTGCCAGGCCTACATGCGCGCCCGGCCCGTGTGGGCATCTGCCTCTCAGTCCTGCTTGTAGCGCAATCTCACGAAAGTCTTCCAATCGGACCAGCAGTAACGTAGTCGGCTTGATGCCTGCCGCACCGAAGACACACTGGTCAAATGAGACCACAGACACCGCGTCAGCAGCTGCAATCTCTCGCATCTCCTGAAGACGCCAGATGGATGGACATGGTGTCCCATACATCCAAGTGGCAGTCTGCGGATGTTCAATGAACCCGCAACCGCCATGTGCCATCACCAACGAAAGAAGCTCCATGGCAACTTCCAGCAAGCCTGTGCCAACACTGACCTGCAGGTGCTGCTTCTGCTTGAGACCCCACGGCGACTGTCTGTCCCTAAGTGGTGGTGGTCCACCACCCAGCCATCTAGCCACCGACCAGGTTTCACATGGAGGCCCACCTCCAACTCCAATGACCTGGCGAGCGAGAATTCTTTCTCGCCACCATCGGATGCGCACTGGCCGCACTGGGTCTAAAAGATCTCCATCAGCACCTTGTAGGCACAAATCAACACTAATGCAGAAGGTTTCGATGTTGTGCGCCCAAGTGTGCGCCTCGATGCAGCTTTGGAGGTCATTCTGCCTTCGGAAGCCCGAGAAAAGGTGCACAAAGACAACCGTGCGCAGGTGCAATCTGGCATCCCATACTGAAACCGAATCCCTTCTGAGCACTCCAGCCGTACCAGAATTGGCTCCACGACCTTGCTGAAACAGGTGGGCATTCTCCGGCATCTTAGGAGGTTCTACAACCTCCCGCTCTGCAATATGCACTCCTTCTACATTATGCCAAGGCGGCACAAATTCAGGCTCCGTCAGGCACTTCTGAAAAATGGCTCTGGCTTCTGGGCTTTCAACAGGCGGCAACTCTGCTGAAGGAGTTCTGAGCGCTGGCAGATGAGCCTTCTTCACTTGCCAACCCAAGGCTTTCTGTTGCAGACTGAGCTGTCTGTCGGCTTCATCCAGCTCGTCCACCACTGCTGTCGTCAGCGGGGGAAAAATTGCCTGCAGCACATGCACACACTCATGCGAGTACTGGAGATGTTGCATCAACCGCGGCCTGACATGGTATTCCTTACGGCGCGCCAAACAGCAGGAACCTCCAGTAATGTATCTCACTTTGGGTCGATATCCGTGCGCGTGAGCTGAGTGCATGAATAACCCCCGCTTAGCAGGGAAGGATTTGTCGCATTGCTGACATGCAAAGACTGCAGCTTGCGCAAGACTGCTCTGACGACAAAAGGACATCCCAAAGTTCTGAAACATGCTTTGCATCTTCAAGTCCACAACTTATGCTTTGCGATTCTTTGGGCAAACCGAATGGCAGCATGTTCTGCTTTCTTAACTTTTGCCTTCCACTGAGGGTCTTGCGCCACAAACTGGCAGATTTCTATCAGTGTCGCATCTTGCTTGGGCCAATTACCACCCGGATGATGGTCTTTCAGCCACTGCAAATCCTGGAACACAAGCTGTTTCCATCCCAAATCATGACTGCTCATGTGAAGGATGTTCCACAGGGCTTCTGGCCCTGGCCAAATATCGAAGTCGATTCACCGTAATCTGCTGCGCAGGCTCAAGCGTATTGCAGAAGGCGGCAAGTTCTGCCACCGTGAATGCATGGACTTCAAACCCCGCCAGCATTGGCTTCACCAACGGCCTGACCATGTCACGAAACGCGTGCTGCATCTTTTTGAGGTCCTCAGGCCTCATAACAGCCCACGCGTGACATTGGTAAAAGAAGCGTGACCCTACCAAACTATGAAACAGCCGCTGTTTGTTGACCTGCGAGATTGACAAAGGTTCCTAACCAAGGGACCCCACGCCTTTTTGGCTTCGGCAATCCTATGCTGCACCTCTCTGGCGGGTGTGGCGTCACTTTGGACATATACGAACCTAGGTGCTTGAAACTACGCACGCAACGAACGTGCTCGACTGAGTGTTCTAGCACCACCGGAATGCTTCCACCCTGGTCAATGTGAATGCGCTTTTTTAGCTCTCGTGACCCCGGTCCAGAACAAGCAAGCAGGATTTCTGTTTTGTCGGGCTTGAAGTTGAGGTTCATGCCTCTCTTTCGTGCTGCGTCCCTGAGAATGGCAAGTGCTTGTGCTGCCACCTGCAACACTTGATTGCAGTCCTTTGCCACAATGCAGAAGGCCGCATCATCGAAGAAGGCCACATCAACAAAAGCAGGCTGCGATGTGTCCAGCTTCCCGGCACATCCCGGGACTACCAGCCAATCTCTCACCCCAAGCTGTGTTAACTGAGCTCGGACCTCTTTTAGGAGCAGCTGCGTCAGAATGTTGAAGGTGATATCCCTTATCAGATCTCCTGGCCTAGTGCCTCGTGACGTGCGTCCAGCATATGACAAGCCTCTCATGGTGAAGTGCGCTTGCCTAAATGCATCGAAGGTGGACTGCTGCACTGCTGGAGTTTGACTTTTCAGTGCGAAGTCAAGTTGGGCTTGTTGCTCCCATTCTGACAGTTCTTCTGGCGAAATACCACGCTGTTGCAGAAAGGAACACAACGCTTCATCACTGAGCTCATGTCCGAACAAACTTTGGCGCAAAACATGGTAGAAAGCCGAGTGCAAGTCAAGGAACACATGGGCTGAGGACACTCTAGAGCACGCGGCCCACGTGATCATGCTTTGAACAAGGTGGTGCCCAAAGTCCGTTCCCATGCCGGTTCTCCCGCCAAAACAGGCCGGGCTGGCAATCTTCTCATATGTGCTGCACAATCGATCACGAAGACAACCGTGCGCAAGCTTGGCAATGGTGTCAGACAGAAGAATCGCTCGGTAATTGTCCGGATTGGTCACCGGTCCTTTTTTATGCAGCGGCACTGATGTGCCTGTTTTCCATTCTAACGGTTCCCTGCCAGCGCACACAGTTTTGACAAAAAGCTCATGCAGCATTGTAGCCAAAACTTCACCTCCGGCCTTGAGAACCTCATTAGGAATCTGATCGAGACCTGGCGCTTTACCTGCTTTCAACCTACGGATGCGAGATTTGACTTGGTCAATTGTCGGCAGGTCCTCAATAGCAATCTGGCAGTGGCTTCCCTTCGTGGTCATGTGAGCATGCTGCAGCTGATCATCTGTGACTCGTTGAGCTGCTTCTACGACAGCAAAATGTTCAAACCAAGCTGCTTGTTGCTGCTCATGAGAACGAAGAACCTCACCATCATCACCATGCAACATTGGCAATGCTTTAGAGGCAGCAGCTCCTTTGCGCTTTCTTCCTAACAGCATAAGTTTATGCATAACTTCCTTGATGTTTCCCATCATGCCTGCTTCTTCTAAGTCCAAGACCACTTGATGGAAGAAAGCCCGCCTATCAGAGTGACATGCTTTACGGACCTCATTCTCATCTGCACGCAGCTCCTGCCTGATGATTTCTCTCCACAACGCCGAGTCAGTGGTCCGACACATGGAAAGCAAGGCTCTTTTCCAACTAATCAATGCTTTGGTGCTTACGGAGGCTGCTTCGGCTTTGGTATCGGAGCAAAAATTTCCTCAGCCAACGTCCGGATATGTTGTCGTTGCCAGGCGGCATGCTCATCAATATCCGTGTGCCACGGAGGGATCGGCAATGCCTGCAACCTGCTCTGGAAAGCAGCAACTTTCTCAGCAACAGCACATTGGCTCCGGTCGATCTTGCTCCTGATCTGCTGTTCGACGAAAACCCAGCCACCCAACTCAGTGACAGTGGGGATGTGGTCTTCATGAGCGAAGCCTCCATCAAATGAGACCCAGCACGAAGACTTTTGCGCCCAAGCACTCATGTCAAGCGACATAAGCGCATAGTTGAGTCTCTTCCACTGCCCACGAGGGTGCCGCCAGGTTCCATGTTGCCCTACATGAATGCCCTCCCACGTAGCCGGGCAAGCTAGCTGCAACTGTTGCAACGAATGCTCAAAAATCGGTGCGGGACCATCAGGCGTCTCTTGACCTGCACCCCCAATTAAATCATCCGGGGTAGAACCAGTGGTGGCATTGGCATCAAGAAACAGACAAATCTTCGCTCCAGCAGGAGCCTGCCTCAACACACGGACGAGTGTCGCCCACCACTTTTGAACTTCTTCATGCGTGTCGGCAGCGCCCCAACACGGCGCATGACCCGAACCAAAAATCCACACCCCAAGGGGGTTGTCAACTCGCATTACCAACAGCCTGGGGTTTGACTCTAAAACCACGAACTTGGATTGGCTAGCCCCAATATGGGTGCCTTGTGTCCAGGATCGCGAACGATGGAACCAAAGTTCACAGCCGAACAGCTTGGAGTTCTGATCTGTGTAAGCCCCCGAACTGAAGATGCGAAAGTGCTCCGTATTGGAGCAACCCTCAGGCGTACGCGCCTCTTGCAGTCCTGCAACGGCAACTCCACCATGATGGAACTGAGCGTCAATGCGTCCACTCTTGTTTCCCCCTCTTCGACCACCTTGGTCCGGAAATTGGTCATCGACCAATGACAACACATTGTAGGACAATAACTTCATGCACAGACGCACTGCTCGCGATGGACTGTGCTGTAGCCGTTCTAGAGGCGCCGACTGTGGCAATGGGACGACAGGCACCTGCAGCCATCCTTGTTCTTCTGGGGGCAAAGCAATCCGTCGTGGGTTATACTTGAGCAGAGCCCACCATTGGACCGCTCTAGGATTGTTAGCAAGCTGATTCATCCAGCTATAATCCCGGTTGCCTACCTGACCATGCTTGCCGGCATATACTGCCATCGTATCAGCTAGCTCATTCCAAGCATGCCCAATATGGGCTCGAACTCGAACGACTGCAAATAAGCCTTGGGCCCGCATCTATGTTGGCAACCAGACTAGTGATCGGTCTATGCATCGTTGGGGCAACCATGCCTTGCACAAGGTCAACCGAATAGCGCAAATCCGGACGCACCAGTACTTGCACATCCAAATGCAGGCTCAATGCATACACTAAGGCAACAAAGATAGCAACGAGTTCAGCATCAACATTGTCTTGTTTCGTAGCACCAACCCAGCTTGAAGCTTGACCATCAAACTGAACCACATCGGCGCAAACCCCTTCAAGAGTTTCGACCCATCCTTGATCACCTGTGCCTTGCGTGGTAACCACTACACTCCAAGACTGACCATGCTTATTACTCGCTCCATCCACATAAATTACGCAAGATGCATCCTTGACCTTTGGACGACTTGGCGCTGCCTGCTGAAGTGCATGCGCTGTGGCTGGATGCAATTTGACTCCCTCTGGAAGACATGCTAATGGCTGGTGCCATAATTGGTGGATTTGTTCATCCCATGTCTCAGGCACAGGGGATTGAAGGCTTCGGTTGTCCTTCTTTGGCTTTACTTCCCCTTCCTGATGGGAGTTTTGGTATTGCATTTGCAAACCCTTCATTTCAACTTCAGACCTGGACTGCCTCTGAAATTCGAAGGGGGTAACTTGCCCCCATTCCTTGACTCGAAAATCATCTTCAACATAAACATGAGCCGAAGGCCAAGCTTGACGAATCTCGTTGGCAGTCGTGCTATGTGCAAAGTAAAGAATGCACGCTAACCCCGTATGTTCCTCGACAAATGCCACTGGAAGCGCTTCCCTACAAACATCGCAAACACAGAAACCTGTCTCCAGACCGAACAACTCGAGAGGAATGAGGTCAAAAGGCCAACTGAGTTGCTGCCGAAAGCTTTCTACATCTGGACACCAGAATGGTCCCACTGGCGTCATGACATGCTTTTGAACACTAGCTTCATCCAAGTCCAATGGTGCCTCCGTGGCCGAAGTCTTGGATCTTTGCATCTGGAGTGGCAGTCTAACTTTGTGGCGCTTGCAGAAAAGCCGGCGCTTCATCAATTCCCAGCTCATACTGCCTGTTTCGAAAGCGATCTGTCCATTTTTCCCCTGATGATGGACTAGTACCTGATGACTCTCTTCTCAAAAACACTCTACGAGCTCCATCCTGTGAAACATGAATTTGGTGCGAGGGATCACCTTCGAAAGAACGGCGAAGATCAGATTCACCAAAAGCCTGTATGAACGGATTCGGTTGCTCTTGCTGCAATTCTTCTTGTAGCGAGTCCCACAAGCCATTCACAAATTCGCTTTCGATCCTTGTGTCGATAATGACCTGGCTTTCAACATCAACTTCTGAACTAAAGCAAACTTGCCTGTGCCTCTTGGGCCCATTTCCAGGCGGAGGAAGTCTCTGGTGAGCATGCGCCGCAACAGACTCTCTCCACGATGCCGACTTTTGCATCAGGGCCACTGCACCACTGTCATGCTCAGTACCGTGTGGAGCAAAGCTTGGGTTCCAAGACAACTCCGACGAACTACTTTCTAGGGAGCTAACTTGGCTGCACGTGTCACTTTGCTCAGGCAAAATGGGCTCTTCAAAGAGTTCCACATGTACCCCCTCAAAGAGTTGAACACGATACCCCCAGAAATAGTATTAATCTCCGATTTTAACATGGCATTCGTTAGCCCACACACACTGATTGCCAGTGACGAATTTCTGGAACAGGTAATTGTTAGATGTTCTCAGAACGCACTGTGGCGGGAACACTTTGAAAACCAAGCGAAACATTCTTACATTGTTTTTGCAATTGTTTAATTGTTTAAAACATTGTTTATAACATTGTTAGATTGTTTAAAACATTGTTTATAATATTGTTATATTGTTTAAAACAGTGTTTTTAACATTGTTGTATTGTTTAAAACATTGTTTATAATATTGTTATATTGTTTAAAACATTGTTTACAACATTGTTGTATTGTTTATAACATTGTTTAAAACATTGTTATATTGTTTAAAACATTGTTTATAACATTGTTACATTGTTTAAAAGATTGTTATATTGTTTAAAGCATTGTTTATAACATTGTTACATTGTTACATTGTTCAAAACTTTGTTTATAACATTGTTTTCGTTCGAAACATTGTTTATAACATTGTATACAACATTGTTAAACTGTTTGAAACGTATGATGTATTGTAAACAGTTTGCTCGCCTCTGAAAACCTCTTCACTTCAACGATTTGAACACTCCATGCTGCCACCAAGCTTTCAAGCCACAACAGCCCAAGCGCGCCGCAACGTTGCCATGACATACTTGTATTGTTGGTTCTGCTTGATGGACATGTTTACACCCTACCTGCAGCCAAGTGATGCAGCACGGACACACCTACTGGCTCGGGATTGCGAATGTGACTTCTTGGGCACTCCCTCGCCAGAGCCTAAGGCCAAGAGGCAAAGGTTGGGCCCAGTACATTTCACCAGAAGTGATGAATGCTGATCAGCTTGCTGACATTGCTAGGCGATATGGGGGTGGCCACAGGCCTTGTGTGCCCAGACGTGCCCAGACCGGCCACAGGCCTCGTCCGAGCGGCCACGGGCCTGGTCCGAGCTTCAGGCACGCCGCGCTGCTTTGCTCCGATTGTTGGCGGCTTCTTTTCGCAGTGTTGCAAGTGCTGCCAGCTTGGAGCTGTGTGACCTGCTTCTTGAAACAGCAGACACTGTCCAGGTTCCAGCTTGGATTCCACTGGTTGGGCTTTATGGTCCTGTGCTGACTTGGAGAGCAGAAAGATTGCGCGCAACCAGGCGTTGTCTTCTAACAATTTTGGGCCAGCTTTGGCGGAAGCTTCTTGAGCCCGGAACTCCAACAAGAAAAGGCGCGCCAATTCTTTGGTGAGAGGGATTGTTGCTTGGATAATTTCAGCTTGCAGCTGAAAGAGCTCATCCAGAACGAGGAAACCTTACTCGTTAAATGTTTTCAAAACCTCCGGTGATGGGGACGCCAAAAAAACAAGCGAAATATTCTTTTGAGGTTGGAAATTGTTTCAACAATTGTTCTGACAATTGTTTTAATTGTTTTCTTTTGTGGAAACAATTTATTGAAAGTTGTTTGCATTTGTGTGTTTTGTTGCTGCTGTGCTACCGCTTCTAGACTCTGGTCCAAGAAGGGTATTAGAATCATGACAGGATGTGTTTTCTTCCATGGCAGAAGAGGTCAGGTATGTTCCCACACTGGACATTCAGGATTTCAATCCAATGTGTTTTCATGACCACCGCTATGCTTTTGCAATGTGCAAGTGCATTTGCTTGGAGACGCCATGGTTTGCAGCTCTATGTGTGTTTGCGCTGATTGGCTGGTGCACTGTGTGCTACTTCTTTTGTGAGCGTTGCAGCCCCCTGCGCTCCCGCATAGAGGCATCATATAGTGATGCCTCTGAGGGGTTCATGTCTGCTGATGATGCAGGCAACTGAACACTCAATTCATGTTGGCGCTGGCCTCAGGCCAGGTTTTATTCGGCCTCAGGCCAGGTTCACGGGCACAGAATTTACAAGCTTCAGCCGCAGTTTGTGGCCTGAAAGTCCAGACAGCATGGACGGCGCTCCTTTGCTGCGGGCGCCGCTGTGGCCTGTGCGCCGTCCAGATTCCTGCCCACATTGTTTGACCCCGCAAGCCTTTGCGTGCCTTGAAGTGATTCTACGAAAGGGTCCCAAACCAACTGCTCTTTCAGAGGAGCCATTGGTGTTAGAGTTTAGGTCGCCAACAGCTCTTCCGTACCATGTGGCCGTTGCTTACTCTACAAGGAAAAAACCTATCCAGGCAGCGCTCTTAGAGTTGAAAGAGCTAGATGATGATTCTGCCCCCCCAGACATCTGCCAAGTGTTGGCTTGCGAGAAGAGCCTTGATGGACATCTAACCCTGAAGAGCGATGTCCAGAGGACTGGCGCATTTCAGTGCTTGGCGTTGGCCCTGTCAAGCGACTGAGCCATTTTGACATTTTATGGAAGGAGGCGGTCGAGCGCAAGTCGCTTGAAAGGACAATGGATGAGGAGAAAAAGCTAAAGCTGGCCATGTCCGCCTTGAAAGCTTTGAACAAAAAGCCACTTCCGAAAAAAAAAGGGCAGCGCGCTCCAGCCTGGCCAGCAGTTTCGCTAAGATGGCCAGACGAGACATGTCCCCTAGCCCAAATCACGGTGGGTCTTCTCAGTCTGACTCAGATACTGACAATGAGCTTGAGGCTGCGCCAGAGGCGAAACCTTCTGAGCCAGGGCTCGGGCCACCGGCCAGGTCGACTGAAGTAGAGAGAGAGACTGGCTCAGCCATGCCTTCTGAGCCAGCACTTGGGCCACTGGCCGCGCCAAGGCCCAAAGTCAGGCATAATGTTCGACGTGCTAGTGTTTGGGGCACTAACCCATCCTTTCAAATCGCACCAGTCCACGCAGCTGGGAGCAAAGAGCCCACAGGATGGGGTGCTATTTGTGGGCGCCACACAGACACCAACCGCCCTGGCCCACAGTGCAAAAAGGCTATGTCAAAGTCTGGCCTGTCAGACGCTGAGTGTCAAGTCAGACTGAAAAGGTGGTTGGTAAGTGGTCTTGATGCGACGTCTTGGGGGAGCAACAAGCGCGATTGCCACGTTAGCATGGGTGGGATCCAG